TTTTTTTTTGAGTCAGAGTCTCACTCTGTTGCCCGGGCTGGAGTACAGTGGCATACTCACGGCCACCGCAGCCTCAACCTGCTGGGCTCAGGCAATCCTTCCGCCTCAGCCTTCCAAGTAGCTGGAATCACAGGTGCGCACCACCAGGTCAGGCTAATGTTTTTGATTTATTGTAGAGACGAGGTCTCGCCAAGTTGCCCAGGCTGGCCTTAAACCCCTGGACTCAGGTAATCCTCTTGCCTCCACCTCCCAAAGTGCTGGGATTACAGGTGTGAGCCACCGTGCCTGACTGTTCTCACATATTTGGCCATATCACCTCCCTTCATCCCCAGTGACTGAGCCAATTCCAAACCTCATACCTCTCCTCTTTGCTCCCATGCTTCCCTACCTTTCGAGCCTCCTGTAGTTCCTGGGTCAACTCCTCCTTTTCCTGCCCTATTTCCTGAAGTTGTTCCAGCAGCCGACTATTGGCCCGTAATGACTCCTAATACAGGAATGAAGGGGATGAGCTTGATAAAGAGCCCCCAGTAGGCGATGGTCACCCCAAATCATCTGGTAGTGCATCATCCTTCCCCCTGGTAGAGTGGGGGTCAAAAAATTTCAATTTCTGGATGGGAAATGTGGCAGAGTCCACTAGTTGCTCCTCAGTATTCATTCTCCCCTACTTCCCTAACAATAGAATCTGTTCTTGGGCACAGGGTTGTCTGGCAGACGATTCCCCTCCTCCCTCGTAGTTAGTGTGGTCATGAGATTAATTTCTCTGTGCAGAAGTAATGAGTGTAATTGAGGTAAGCTCTAAAAGGAAAGGGGTATGCTATTCCCTTCCTCTTTTCCTCCTTCCTTCCAAACAGAATACAAACATGACTGTGGAGGAGTTTGAGCGTCCATCTTGGATGCCAAGATAGAAGTCTTGTGTTGAAGGTGGAAGAACAGCAATGGAGAAAAAACCTAGGTCACTGGTGATTGGAAAGCCATCATTCCATCTATGAACAACCTACCTGGAGTTTTACATGAAAGAGAACTAAACTTCTATCTTATTTAATCCACTATTGTTCTAGTTTCTATTATGGAATCAGCATGGGTACTCTAACTAACTGAAGAGGCTCAATCTTGGAAAAGTGAAACAACTTGTCCCAGGACACACAGGTGCTAATAAGTTAGGAAGCCAGACTAGAACCTAGGTCCTCCTGACTCCAGTCTTCCCACTGCACCTTTTCAGGAATTCTACCGAGCTATTTCTAGGGAGCTAGGAGAAGACAGGCCAGAGCCAGGTGTCACCTGGAGCTGGGAGTTGAGGTCATCTTTCTGTCCCATGAGGTCTTCATACTCAGCCTGCCGCTGCTGCAACTCAGCTGCTAGCCCAGTAGTCTGTTCTCGGATCATATTCAGTTCTTGGGTCTTTGCTGTTTGGATCTGGAGGAAGTAGTAATGGTGGAAAGTGAAGTGAAAGGGGCTCCAGGGACCAGGAACAGAGCATGAGCCCCCCAGTTCCAGGAAGAGAGGTGGGAAGTGAACCAGGAAGAGAAAAAATGTCAACAGAAAAACAATGAAGGAAATGGGCAAATGTGATATATTCATACAGTGGAACACCCACAGCAATAAAAGAATAGACCCAGGCTACATATGGATAAACTTTCCAGATACAATGCTGCCAGAAAGAAGTCAGCGACAAAAGAGTGTCTGATTCCATGTATAGGAAGTTAAATAACAAACAAAATGAATCTGTTGCTAGAGATCAGAATAACTGTTACTTCTGGAAGAGTATTGATGGAGAAGGCGTAAAGGGGACCCTTTGGGGTACTAAACCTGAGAAAGCTGATTCTTCCAAAATTAAAAATTAAAAAAATGCTTTATATCTTGAACTGGGTGGCAGCTATGACATAGAGATAGAGATTAGATAGAGAGAGATAGAGACAAAGACAGAGAGATGATCACTGAGTGTAAACTTAAGATTAGTATACTTCATGCACTTTGCTAGAAACTAGAATGCAAGAAAAGCAAGGATGGATGACCAGAAAGAGGGCTGGAAGCCAACAGAAAGGAGCAACAGAAACAGAGGCGGGAGAACAGCATGTGGACCAAAAGCAGAGGAAGATGGGAGAACTGGAGAGGGATCAACAAGACCCCAGTGTCCTGTACCTGCTCCAAGGCAGCCAGACTAGTCCTCAAGGCACTGTTCTCAGCCAAAAGCCCTTCTACTTGTTCTTGCGCATCTGCACTCTGGATGGAAACCTGGTGCCACCCCCACAACAGGTGAGAGAGGGTCCAGAACAGGGGGACACATCCTACCCATAGCCAAGAAGAAAGGAGACACACACACACACATACACACACACACACAACGAGGGGAAGCAGGATCCCTGTGTAGTACTTAATCAGGCTGCCCCCACCCTGAGCCATAGCTCCCTAAGCCCACCCAGTACAACATACCTGATCTTGTAAGGCCCGCAAAGCTGCTGCGTGCTCCAGGCGCTCCCCCTGCCGCTGATCTCTCAGCTCTGCCAAGCTCTGTGGGGACCAGAAGGCCAGGGGAGCCCATTCCAGACCTCAGTCTCCCCTGGGGTGCATGTAACCATACAGACTCCCTCTTTGATCACCCAACAGCATCTCTCCAGCACCTTTGGGTCTTAGGCTACCCAGCCACCAGAAAGCTCAGGTTAACCTAGACTCCAGGTTACTACCCCCATGGGCCTCAGGCACACTCAATCCCTCTATCCCAGCCTCCAAGCATCTCAGACACATCTAGGTTCCTGGCCTTAGCTCCTGGGGGTTCAGATTTACTCAGTCCCCATCCATAAGGGGTCTCATACTCACTCAGCTCCCAGTTTGGGAGCCCCAGGATTCTCTGACACACTCCGCCCCCATGAATGTCATACGCAGTCAGTACCCAGGGACTACAGCTTCACCCAGACTCCTGACCCCAACCACCAGGGGTTTCAGACATACTCAGCTCCCATGTCCAAATATTCCCAAGTGTCTCAGATCTACCCAAACTCACAGTTTCAGATCCAAGAAGTCTCAAACTCTTACCATCTCCTAATTTTCAGCTCCCAGTAAACTCTCAGACTGACCCCTCCACCTGTCACTCTGTTTCCAAGTCTCTGGGAATCTTCAAATCCAGCTAACTATCAGTTCCTGGGCGTCTCAGCTTTACCCAGACTCTTGTTCCAGCCCCCATGTTCTCAGTTTCTAGGGGCCTGGGACCCACAAATCACCATATCCTTCATTCCAAGGGACCTCAGGCTCACCCCTTCTAGGGGGAAACCCAGAAGACCTAAAGTCATCCAGCCCCTAACCCTCAGGAGCCTCATACCCATCTAGACTTTTGCTCTAGCTCCTGGAGATCTCAGACGAAACAACTTTTTGTTCATGGTCCCCAGGGATCCCACTTTCTAGATATCTCAGTCCCAAGCCAGCCTCCTGACCCCGAGGGTCTCAAACACGCTTAGCCTTCAATCCCAACTGTCTTAAAAGTCTTCTATCTACCCAGACCCCAAGTCCTGAGTCCCTGGGAGTCTCAAATTTACTAGCATCCCAGTCCCTAAAGGTCTCAAAGTCAACCAGACTCCAGTGAGTTCAGACTTGCCCCAATTCCTGGTCCCAGTCCTCAATGACCACAGATTTATGCAGAGTCTCTAATCCCCAGGAGTTCCAGATTCATACACACTTACGGCACACATCACCTTAAGTCCTCAGCCCCCTGATATCTCCATTCATACAGACTCCTATCCCAATTCCTAGGGCTTTTAGGGCTCTCTAGCTCCCAATTCCTAGCTCCTGGAGGGCCTTGGAACCATTCCGTCCCTATAATTCCATAGGAAACCTCAGACTCCCCAATCAGCCTCCATGAACCTCAGACCTCCCCAGATTCCCAGCCTTAGTCTCTAGTCCAGGGATCCCAAAACCCAGCTCCCCTCACCTGATTGGCAGCCTCAAGTTCCTGCTGCAGCTTTTGGGTTCGAACCAGTTGCGCTTTGAGATCAGCTTCCTTCCGCTGTTGTAACTCCTCAATTTTGTTCCTGGGGGAAATGAGGAAGGAGTGCATTGGACATGGCTTGAGGCCCAGTCTCCCAGTTCTGCCCCTGTAGTCTTCAGTTAATTCTGCTGGGCATTGTCTTCATTGTCCACCAATGCTCTCAACCCCGACAGTTACCTGCTGTCATTAAATAGTGTCTCCTTTTCTGTCTGCAGACGGCAAAAACTAGGCACAGAAAGACAGAGGCAGATGGGTCAGTTCCCCAAGTCGACTTCCCCCTAGTCCCTCAAGACCCCTGGAAAAAAGAAATTCACCTTTCTTGTTTCTTTTTCAGTTTTTCAGAGAGCTGAGGGGAGGGAGGGGTACAGACAAGTGATAACAATGAAATTATTATTAATAAAGACACAAATAAACTTAATATTTAAAGACAGTCCTAAGTCCTAAATTCTTTCTAGAAACCAGGATTTACATAATGTTATCTCATGGAATCCTTAAAACAACCCTGAGAAGTGAGTAGTATCAGTTTCGCAAATGGGGAAACTGAGTCTCAGAAGGGTTAAGTAATTTGGTTGCTCAGCTAGTCAGCAGCAAGAATATTAACTCTACCCAGATACTTAAGGCCCCAAAGCCCAATATTTATGCCCCTAAAATAGTGGCCAATGACCACACCATGGATCCAGTGGGATCATGACTGGCTGCTCACCACTGGGTATTCTAAGAGATGAGCCAGAAAGTTATAAATGCTTGGATGAATGGGCAAAATTGGGAGGAGATGGATGGGGTGGGGCCTGCCATGGACAAGATAGAGTGGGACCACATTAACCCATTCATATTGAAAGCTCAGCAATCCCACCTTAGCAAGTTCCTCCTGTAGCCTGGATGTTTCAGCTTGCTTTGAGCTCTGCAGGAAAGGATGAGGGGTGGGGTTGTTGTCAGCAAGGATAGGAAAAGACCTCTGCTTTCCCCTGCCCTTCTTCCTCTTACCCAGTCACCCCACAAGGTGGTGATGTCACAGACATCTCTGTGACACCACAGGCAGAGTTAGAGCATGCCTGCCTCTTGGCATCCCAGCCTCAACAAACCCAGATTTACCTCCAAGCCTTGCAGCTGCTCCCAGAGCAATCTCTTTTCTTCTTTCTCCATTTCCCATTTCAGCTCCACTTCTGCCAATGGCATGGGGGCCATGACAGCAGGGGCCAGACTCCCTGGAGGATCCCCTTGGCCCTCATTGACAGCTGGAGACTGCCCAGCCTCTTTTCCATAGCGTTCCTGCAGGGCTGGTAGGTAGAACAGGGATATAGGACGGATAAGATAGTCTCTGGAGTCCCTTGACAAGCCTTAAATAGAGGGAGAACTGGCCTTTGATCCCTCAAATGGCAGAGACCCTGCCCCAAATGACCACATGCCTGCAAGACGAAGGTTCAGCCCTATCCACGCTTCTCACAAATCTTTTTTTTTTTTTTTTTTTTTTTTTTTTGAGTTGGAGTCTCACTCTGTCGCCCAGACTGGAGTGCAGTGGCACACACCCAGCCACCGCAGCCTTGACCTGCTGGGCTCTGGCGATCCTTCCACCTCAGCCTTCCAAGTAGCTGAAACTACAGGTGCATGCTACCATGCCTGGCTAATTTTTTGATTTATTGTGGAGATGAGGTCTCACCAAGTTGCCCAGGTGGGTCTCGAACCCGCAGGCTCAGGCAATCCACTCGCCTCAGTCTCCCAAAGCTTGGGATTACAGGCTGAGCCACCGAGCCTGGCTCTCTCACAAATCTTTTAATCCCTACCAACTACTAAGATCTTGTCTACCATCAAGTTAGTCGAAGCTGGTTTCCCAAGCCTCACCTATAGCCCTTCATGGCCATGCCCACCATGCACCACCCTCAACTTACAGCTGAATCTCTCCTAGAGCCTCCTAATTCCACCCACATTCTATCACGTCTCCATCCTGATCATCAAACCAGAACCTACCACTACATAAATCCTAGCTGCTCTCCAAAGGTCCACACAACATGCCCTCCCACACTCTACCAAGCTTTCTTTCAACTTTCATCCCAGACCCCACTTACAATCTGGGCTCAAAATCTTCCCAATGCCCCTTCATTCTCTTTCTCCACTTAGCAAATATTCCTTTTTGGTGTTCAAGCTGCTAATCAGTAACATCTGCTAGGTACCAGGCACTGAAATAACATAGAATGATACCACCTCTTATCTCTACTATGATCTTCCAGTAGCAGACATCATTATGTGCATTGTGTAGATGATGAGGCTTTAGCTCAGAGAAGTGAAATGGCTTGTCCAAAGTCACACAGTTGTTCATGGCAGGACCAAGCCTCATTTTGAAGCCCTCCCCTTTCTCCTGAGAGGATGACAGCCTTCCTTGCCAATCAAATCCCAAGGTCCCCACATCCCCAGGAGGGCCTCCATGCACCTGCCACGTTCTTCTGCAATGCTGTGTTTTCAGCCTGTAGTCTCAGCAGTTCCCCATCCACATGGGGCCCAGCTTGGGCAATTCCTGCTCCAGCAGCCCCCTCCTTCAGTTGCTGGTTCTCTTGCTCCAGCTGTTCCATCTGGCTGCAGAGCTGAACAGGGGAAGAGAAAGGGCAGATAAACAGAGTCTCAGGACAATGTTCACTGAAACATATATCGCATTTGGCCATACACTTTATAATTCACTTAATTCCCATAATGACCCTATGATGTAGGTGCTCTCACACTTTACAGATAAGGACACTGAGGCACAGAGATGTTAAACAACTTCAAATTCACACATCTGTTAAGTGGCAGAGTTAGAGATGAGACTAAGAACAGTATTCTCCTTGCCCACTCCTAACCTTACAGATATGATCCAAGATCTCAGGCTCCTCTGGAAGTTACCACAGATAGCCTCGCTACCACCCCATCTTCTGCAACAGGGTCTGTGTCCCAGATCCTAGGCTCACGGATTGCTCCCTTTCAACCCAGGCACCACAGACAGCTTTCAGAACATTTCCAGGGCCAGTGCTGCCAAGAGCTCCTGCATTTCCAGGCCTTGGGCTTGTAGAGGTATATGATGCCAAATGAAATTAAATCAGATCCCTGCTCAACTTCTGACTAAAATGCAGTTCTCACATCAGTCCTGAGATAATTCCTTGTCCTCATTTACAGATGAGAATGCCAAGGCCCACAGATAATTTTTTTATTACCTGCAATATTTTCTACCCAGAACACTATTCCTTTCATCTAGTTCTTCATATGACTGGTTTCTTTGCCTCCTTTAATGCTATGCTCAGATGCCACTTTTAAGGTGGCATCCCTCAACACAAAAATTCCAGTACTCTATCACAGCACTCTGCTCACTTCTTTCTTACCTGGCACTAATCATAATTAAATTTGCTTTTGAAGCCGGGTGCTGTGACTCCCAGCACTTTGGGAGGTGGAGCCAAGAGGACTGCCTGAGCTCAGGGGCTCAATACCAGCCTGGGCAACTTGGTGAGACCTAGTCTCTACAATAAATAAAAAAATTAGCTGAGTGTGGTGGCACACGCCTGTGGTTCCAGCTACTTGGAAGGCTGGGGCAGAAGGATTGCCTGAGCCCAGCAGATCGAGGCCACAGTGGGCATGAGCATGCCACTGCACTCCAGCCTGACAGAGTGAGACTCTGATTTAAAAAAAAAAGAAAAAAGTCTGAGCCGGGCTCGGTGGCTCAGCCTGTAATCCCGCACCTTTGGGAGGCTGAGGTGAGTGGATTGCCTGAGTCCGCGGGTCCGAGACCCACCTGGGC